GGAGGAAGAAAGAAACATTCAGAAATTAAAATGGTATTGGCATGAGTACAGCCTATGAAGGACCGTTTGGCAATGTTTACAATAACTACTACCAGGTAGGAGATTATACAACAAAACATGCAGCTGTACAAAACAATGGGGAGGAAGCTTTCTCTATATTTACACTGAAATTACAAAATTAGTTAAGTGAAAAAGTATAGAATGTAGAGTGTGCTTTATTTGCAGTAAAAATACAGTAAAAAATTTCCATTTTTAAAAAAGAGCTGGGCGTGGTGTTAACATGCCTGTCATCCCAGTGATTTGGGATGTTGAGGCAGTAGGATTGCAAGTTCAAGGCCAGCCTCACCAATTTGGACTCAGCAATTTAGTGAGACCATCTCAAAAATAAAAAATAGAATGGATGGGATGGAGCTCAGTGGTAAAGCTCCCCTGGGTTCAATTCCCAATACCAAAAACAAACCTAAGAAGTTCTATTTGTGTTGTGTGTAGGGGTACTATAATAAATAATGCGAAGGCAACAGTACCTCTTTGCTTCTTTTATAAAACTGTGTAATGTAGAATACATTTTAAGGGCTTTTTAAAGGAGGACATCAGAGGACTGGGGTAGTGGCTCAGTGGTAGAGCACTTACCTGGCATGCATAAGGCACTGAGTTTGATCCCCAGCACCACATAAGAAAAACTAGAAAGGGTTGGGGTTGTGCAGATATAAGTGGTAGAATACTTGCCTCACAAGCGTGAGGCCCTGGGTTTGATCCTTAGCACCACATAAAAATAAATAAGCAAAATAAAGGTATTTTGTCCATCTACAACTAAAAAAAATTTAAAAAGGACATCAGATTTCCTGTGTTAACTCCTCCCTCTGCCACTTTGTACCTCAGTGACTTTGGCAGGTACTTAGACCTTACGATTCAGTTTCCTTTTTTTAATATTTACCTATTTTTTTAATTTTTATCGATTTCTTGCATACATGACAATAGTGGAAGACTCAGTTTCTTATCTGGTAATATAGAGACAGAAGAACCTGATTCACAGTGGTTTTGCAAGTCAAAAAGTTGATATATATAAAATTCTAAGAATAGATTTAATTTAATAATAGTATTTACTGATTTTTTTTTTTTGTGTGTGTGTGTGTGTGTGAGCGCGCATATGTGGTTATGGGGGTTAAACTATGGTTTTGCCCATACAAGGCATGCACTCTGCCACTGAGTTACATTTCTAGCACTAGTGCTATTATTATTTGTTGTCTGCAGGAAAATATAGGAACTTTCTCAAAAATAGTATAACCATTTGCACTGTTTATGGTAGAAATTTCTGAAAGAATGGGATATATAAATGCAATTTTCTAACTTCTGTATCTTAGAATTTTTACCTTTTTTGTTGTTGTTTTGGGGCATTTCCTCTTAGTTGGAATGAAAAAATGAGAATTGTGTTCAAGTGCTCATCTTTAGAAGTTCATCTACCTCCTTCATGAAACTTCTTTGATCAATAAGTGTTACCTTCATGTTTGTAATCCTGAATTTCTGGTATTTTTAGAAAATTCTAATGGTGGTTCATTTTTGGCCATAATACACAGGAGCTGATCTTTTCCCTCCCTCCCTTTGTTTCTTTCTCTTTCTTATTCCTTTCCTTTCCTTCTTCCTTTTTCTTTTCCCTTTTTCTTTCCCCTTTTTCTTTCCCTTTCCTTTCCTTCCCCTCCCTCCCTCCCTCCTTCCTTCCTTCCTTCCTTCCTCTCTTTTTCTCTTTCTCTCTTTCCCTTCTTCCCTCC